TCCGTGGTGCTTTTCTCCATGCTACATTGCCACTCACTGCCTATCCTAATTCACACCCTATGATTCACACCACCCCGTGATGTTTTTCTCACTCCTACTAGTGAATGTAATGTTACACACCCATACAATGCGCACCAACCGGCGATGTTTTTCAGAAACCTATACTACATTGGCACTGCATGTGTCCTGACCTCCCCATGCTGACCACACCGTGGTGCTTTTCTCCATCCTACATTGCCACTCACTGCCTATCCTAATTCAGACCCTATGATTCACACCACCCGGTGATGCTTTTCTCACTCCTACTAGTGAATGTAATGTTACACACCCATACAATGCGCACCACCCCGTGATGTTTTTCAGAAACCTATCCTACATTGCCACTGCATGTTTCCTGACCTCCCCATGCTGACCACCCCATGGTGCTTTTCTCCATCCTACATTGCCCCTCCCTGCCTATCCTAATTCAGACCCTATGATTGACACCACCCGTTGATGCTTTTCAAACTGCTACTAGTAAATGTAATGTTACACACCCATACAATGCGCACCACCCCGCGATGTTTTTCAGAAACGTATACTCCATTGCCACTGCATGTTTCCTGAGCTCCACATGCTGACCACCCCGTGGTGCTTTTCTCCATCCTACATTGCCACTCACTGCCTATCCTAATTCAGACCCTATGATTCACTCCACCAAGTGATGTTTTTCTCACTCCAACTAGTGAATTCAATATTACACACCCATACAATGAGCACCACCCCGCGATGTTTTTCAGAAACCTATCCTACATTGCCACTGCATGTGTCCTGACCTCCCCATGCTGGCCACCCCGTGGTGCTTTTCTCCATCCTACATTTCCACTCACTGCATATCCTAATTCAGACCCTATGATTCACACCACCCCGTGATGTTTTTCTCATTCCTACTAGTGAATATAATGTTACACACCCATACAATGCACACCACCGCGCGATGTTTTTCAGAAACCTATCCTACATTGCCACTGCATGTTTCCTGACCTCCCCATGCTGACAACCCCGTGGTGCTTTTCTCCATCCTACATTGCCACTCACTGCCTATCCTAATTCAGACCCTATGATTCACACCACCCCGTGATGTTTTTCTCACTCCTACTAGTGAATGTAGTGTTACACACCCATACAATGCGCACCACCCCGCGATGTTTTTCAGAAACCTATCCTACATTGCCACTGCATGTTTAATGACCTCCCCATGCTGACCACCCCGTGGTGCTATTCTCCATTCTACATTGCCACTCACTGCCTATCCTAATTCAGACCCTATGATTCACACCCACCCGTAATGGTTTTCTCACTCCTACTAGTGAATGTAATGTTACACACCCATACAATGCGCACCACCCCGCAATATTTTTCAGAAACCTATCATACATTGCCACTGCATGTTTCCTGAACTCCCCATGCTGGCCACCACGTGGTGCTTTTCTCCATCCTACATTGCCACTCACTGCGTATCCTAATTCAGACCCTATGATTCACACCACCCCGTGATGTTTTTCTCACTCCTACTATTGAATGCAATGTTACACACTCATACAATGCGCACCACCCTGCGAGGTTTTTCAGAAACCTATCCTACATTGTCACTGCATGTGTCCAGACCTCCCCATGCTGAGCAACCCGTGGTGCTTTTCTCCATCCTACATTGCCACTCACTGCTTATCCTAATTCAGACCATATGATTCACACCACCCTGTGAAGTTTTTCTCACTCCTACTATTGAATGCAATGTTACACACCCATACAATGCGCACCACCCAAAGATATTTTTCAGAATCCTATCCTACATTGCCACTGCATGTGTCCTGACCTCCCCATGCTGACCACCCTGTGGTGCTTTTCTCCATCCTACCTTGCCACTCACTGCCTATCCTAATTCAGACACCATGATTCACACCACCCCGTGATGTTTTTCAAACTCCTACTAGTGAATGTAATGTTACACACCCATATGATGCGCACCACCCCGCGATGTTTTTCAGAAACCTATCCTACATTGCCACTGCATGTGTCCTGACCTCCCCATGCTGACCAACCCGTGGTGCTATTCTACCTCCTACATTGCCACTCACTGCCTATCCTAATTCAGACCCTATGATTCACACCACCCCGTGATGTTTTTCTCACTCCTACTAGTGAATGCAATGTTACACACCCATACAATGCGCACCACCAAAAGATATTTTTCAGAATCCTATCCTACATTGCTACTGCATGTGTCCTGACCTCCCCATGCGGACCACCCCGTGGTGCTTTTCTCCATCCTACATTGCCACTCACTGCCTATCCTTATTCAGACCCTATGATTCACATGACCCCGTGATGTATTTCTCACTCCTACTAGTGAATGTAATGTTACACACCCATACAATGCGCACCACCCCGCGATGTTTTACAGAAACCTATCCTACATTGCCACTGCATGTGTCCTGACCTCCCCATGCTGACCACCCCGTGGTGCTTTTCTCCATCCTACATTGCCACTCAGTGCCTATCCTAATTCAGACCCCATGATTCACACCACCCCGTGATGTTTTTTCTGACTCCTACTAGTGAATGTAATGTTACACACCCATACGATGCGCACCACACCGCGATGTTTTTCAGAAACCTATCCTACATTGCCACTGCATGTGTCCTGACCTCCCCATGCTGACCACCCCGTGGTGCTTTCCTCCAGCCTACATTGCCACTCACTGCCTATCCTAATTCAGACCCTATAATTCAATCCACCCGGTGATGTTTTCCTCACTCCTACTATTGAATGTAATGTTACACACCCATACAATGCGCACCACCCCGCGATGTTTTTCAGAAACCTATCCTACATTGCCACTGCATGTTTCCAGACCTCCCCATGCTGACCAACCCATGGTGCTATTCTCCATCCTACATTGCCCCTCACTGCCTATCCTAATTTTGACCCTATGATTCACACCACCCCGTAATGGTTTTCTCACTCCTACTAGTGAATGTAATGTTACACACCCATACAAGGCGCACCACTCCGCGATGTTTTTCAGAAGCCTACCCTACTTTGCCACTGCATGTGTCCTGACCTCCCCATGCTGACCACCCCGTGGTGCTTTTCTCCATCCTACATTGCCACTCACTGCCTATCCTAATTCAGACCCTATGATTCACACCACCCCGTGATGTTTTTCTCACTCCTACTAGTGAATGCAATGTTACACACCCATACATTGCGCACCACCCCGCGATGTTTTTCAGAAACCTATCCTAAATTGCCACTTAATGTGTCCTGACCTCCCCATGCTGACAACCGGGTGGTGCTTTTCTCCATCCTACATTGCCACTCACTGCCTATCCTAATTCAGACCCTAGGATTCACACCACCCTGTAATGTTGTTCTCACTCCTACTAGTCAATGTAATGTAACACACTCATACAATGCGCATCACCCCGCGATGTTTTTCAGAAACCTATCCTACATTGCCACTGCATGTGTACTTACTCCCAATGCTGACCACCCCGTGGTGCTTTTGTCCATCCTACATTGACACTCACTGCCTATCCTAATTCAGACCCCACGATTCACACCACCCCTTGATGTATTTCTCACTCCTGCTAGTGAATGTAATGTTACACACCCTTACAATGCGCACCACCCAGCGATATTTTTCAGAAACCTATCCTACATTGCCACTACATGTGTCCAGACCTCCGCATCCTGACCACCACGTGGTGCTTTTCTCCATCCTACATTGCCACTCACTGCCTATCCTAATTCAAACCCTATGATTCACACCACCCCGTGATGGTTTTCTTAGTCCTACTAGTGAATGTAATGTTACACACCCATACAATGCGCACCACCCCGCAATGTTTCTCAGAAATCTATCCTACATTGCCACTGCATGTGTCCTGACCTCCCCATGCTGACCACCCCGTGGTGCTTTTCTCCATCCTACATTGCCACTCACTGCCTATCCTAATTCAGACCCTATGATTCACACCACCAAGTGATGTTTTTCTCACTCCTACTAGTGAATGTAATGTTACACACCCATACAATGCGCACCACCCCGCGATGTTTTTCAGAAATCTATCCTACATTGCCACTGCATGTGTCCTGACCTCCCCATGCTGACCATCCCGTGTTGCTTTTCTCCATGCTACATTGCCACTCACTGCCTATCCTAATTCACACCCTATGATTCATACCACCCCGTGATGTTTTTCAAACTCCTACGAGTGAATGTAATGTTACAAACCCATACAATGCGCACCCCCCTGCGATGTTTTTCAGAATCCTATCCTCCATTGCCACTGCATGTTTCCTGAGCTCCCCATGCTGACCACCCCGTGGTGCTTTTCTCCATCCTACATTGCCACTCACTGCCTATTCTAATTCAGACCCTATGATTCACACCACCCCGTGATGTTTTTCTCACTCCTACTAGTGAATGTAGTGTTACACACCCATACAATGTGCACCACCCCGCGATGTTTTTCAGAAACCTATCCTACATTGCCACTGAATGTTTCCTGACCTCCCCATGCTGGCCACCACGTGGTGCTTTTTTCCATCCTACAGTGCCACCCACTGCGTATCCTAATTCAGACCCTATGATTCACACCACCCCGTGATGTTTTTCTCACTCCTACTAGTGAATGCAATGTTACACACCCATACAATGCGCACCACCCAAAGATATTTTTCAGAATCCTATCCTACATTGCCACTGCATGTGTCCTGAACTCCCCATGCTGACCACCCCGTGGTGCTTTTTTCCATCCTATATTGCCACTCACTGCCTATCTTTAATCAGACCCTATGATTGACATGACCCCGTGATGTATTTCTCACTCCTACTAGTGAATTGTCGTGAGTGTCTAGGGCACTCTGAACTCCGGGCAAGGTAAACACACACGCACGCCTTGTCGGGACACGGGGGGTACAGCGCTTGGAAAAGAAAGACAGGAGAGACACCTTTGCTGTCTGCACCGCGTTACACTGCACTGCACTGTACGCACAATCTTTATTTTAGGATTCATATATAGTAAACCCGATCAATTCACAGAGCCCAGATAATTAAGTAGTGAAAAGGCATTCTTTGTGGCAAGCTACAACGTGACAGACTACAATGTTTATTCTAAAGCTATCTAAGTGAGGTAAATAATCACAACCAGTTCTCATAACCTCTCTAGCCCAGGAAGAAATTCATTAGCTCAAGAATGTTGTTAATTTGTCTGCTGTTAGTGTCACAAAGGGTGGCCAGCCACTTCCTCAAGACTTCTGCAAAACAAAGCCAGCTCACAGTATGGATTCCAGAGGGTGAGGGCTCACTAAGAACAGGCATTCCTATTCTACCTCCTTCTCGCATACCAGGGCGGCTATTGTAAATTGCAGGTTAGAGGGGGTTGGGCCTACAAAGTGACACCTCATCCCCCACACTTCCTTCCTTTTTATTTTTTAACAACAATTTCCATAAGATCAGGTTATTAATAGTATTTCGTCTTATGCAGTAAAAATACACAAGAACTATGGCAATGAGAACTATAATTAAACTAAGTCCCATGCCACTAAAAGTGTGGGTTATGCTCTGCCAGATTCCTTTGGAATCTAATCCTTTCAAAGATTGAGCAAGCAATTGCGCGAATTGTGCTAGGGATTCATCATCATTTTGCTTTGCAAAATCCTTGTCAATTTGATTATGCAAAGATTCTATTTCCTCCTGGGCAGAGGTGTTTCCATTTAGATACATTCTAATCATTTCCCATTCATGTTCTGTTTGATTATAAGGTCGTTGGGTTATACAGAAAGTAGTTGAATTCCAATCACATTTTAAAAACACTTGATGCTGAAGAGCCAATATTTTTCTACCCATCCATTCAACTGTTTGTTTAAGGAGGTCTATTTGTTGTTGTAGTCTGGCGTTTATTTGCCACTGAGTTAACCAAAGTTCATGAGAATTTTCATGCCATAATTCTACAACATGTTTTTCTTGCAAAGAGGTTTGTAAAGCTATTCCTGAGACTGCTGCTAGGGAGGCTACAGTTATCAGACTTAACAGTACAGCAACCACTATTCCAATAAATCTTTTTGTACGTTTTAACAGATGTTTAAAAAATTCAGTAGTAACAGAAATTACCGGGTCTTGAGACCATGGTCGAGTTAAATTTACAGGCAACCAAATATGAGTTTTTTGTTGTAACAGCATAACTGTATAAGGCTTAGTGAAATTTAGTGTGCTATTTAAGCATGTAAACAATTGACAATTTAAACAAGTACAAGAAAAATGTATAAAATTAAAAGTTCCCACTAAAAAGACATAAGGCAGAGGTGCACAAACAGTAATATTATACATTTTAAACCTAGTAAAATTATAATTAGTAGATACAGATCGACTAGTCCCTGAATATGAAACATTGTACAAGGTTACAGGTTGCATAGCGGCTGGGATCTTCCAAATATGATTTTGAAGGTGATGAGGGTATTCTTCGGCTGCAACAGCAGGGTTAGCGATTCCACCATCTCCCCACCACAAGAGAGCCGTCTTTTGATGAAATATAGGAGCTCCGTCAGTTATTTTCTTTGGATCTGGAAGACTATACACAACAGAGAGATTACATCTTGTCTCATTCCATTCAGCACATCCATTAACGAATTTTCCAAATGGTCCCCAAATAATATACCCATCAATATTTTTAGCAAATTTTCCCATACATAGTTGCCAAATTATGGGATTATAAGAAATATTTTTATAAGTGAATTCAGGGCATACAGGAAATGTATTTGTATCAGGTGCTGTTAAATTTCTCCAGGTAACATTAAAGGTTTGAGCAGCCAAGGCTTGAAGCCTTGTTCTTTTGTTGCCTGCTTTTATTCCATGTTGAATCCAATACTGCCATCCCAGAGGGATGCAAGGCGGTTCCCCAATGCAAATAGGCCTTTGATTACCATAATAAGTAAAATTGAATAATGTCCCATCATCTTGATTGTGGGGGGTTAAATCAGCCCACAGTGCTGACAAAATTTCTCTAGGTGTGGTATAAAGTAAAATATCACTAGTTCCCCATTTTACAGGTTCTAATAAAGGGGGGTTTGGAATATATGCCCAGTACGAATGCGGAGGTACCTCAGTCCCCGACGCAACAGTGAGCAAGGCACATAAAGCTAAAAACAAGTTTTCAGGGTTTAAAGGCTTTCCTGCTTGAAGGACAAGCCGTTGCCCTTCTATGGTCAATTTCTTTAATTGTCCCCATGTAGGGAGGGGATTTAAATTTGGTCGCTGTGAGCGGCGGGATTTTCTTAGCTTTAATCTGGCCATGGCTGCGATAGGAACAAGCTCAGCATCCTCAGCCTCTAGCTGGTTTCGCGCTCGCTTCTGAAGGCACGGTTCCGGTTCCTTGGGGAGTTGTCTCCGGGGCTGGCGAACAGGGTCTGGAGGCGCGGATCCTGATCCATCGTCCAGGGACCCACTGCTGAATTCCATTTTCTGTGGAGATATAACCAAAACCTTTCCCCTTATAGAGCAATGTGCCCCTCTCCCATTCAGCCTCTGGAGCTGTTTTAGTCCAAATAGGTTCATTAATCACAAAGGGCTGTTGTTGCTGTTCAAAATGTTTTTCAGCTCTAGTTAATATTTCACCTTGTGGTAAATTGAGAAAATTTAAAATAAACAATGCTTGATGCAGTAATGTTTTTGGACTGTTTTGCAATTTAAACAGTATTGGTATCTGAATATCCTCCTGACTCCTCCTTTTTAATTTTTTAATTTGCAACTTAAGAGTGCCATGTGCTCTTTCAACAATAGCTTGACCCTGGGGGTTATATTCAATCTCTGTAATATGAATAATATTATGGAGATCACAAAATTGTTTAAATGTTCTGCTAGTATAAGCAGGTCCATTATCTGTTTTGATTTTAGAAGGAATTCCCATAACTGCAAAAGTCTCCAATAAATGTACAATAACATTTTTAGTGGATTCTCCCTGTTGAGCAGTAGCCCATAGAAATGAAGAATAGGTATCAATAACTACATGTACATAAGAAAGCCGACCAAAAGAAGGTACATGTGTAATATCCATTTGCCATAACTCATTAGGTTGAATTCCTCGAGGGTTGACACCTGCGGGAATAATTCTTAAATGTAATGGTCTACAAATAGGGCAAGCTTTTACAATCTGTTTAGCTTTTGTAAAAGGTATCTTATATTTAAGATGCAAATGTCCTGCATTTGCATGATTAAATTGATGTTCTTCAACGGGTGTGGTGAACATAACTAAGGAATCCACTGCATTGTTACCTGATACTAATGGTCCGGGTAACTGAGAATGAGAACGTAAATGAGTAATAAAATAAGAATGATTTCTTTTTTGAACATGTATTTGTAAATTTTGAAATAAAGACAATAAAGCAGGCTTATTAGAATATAACACAGCTGAATAGATATTTGTCACTACTCCAACAGAATAGGCTGAATCGGCTATAATGTTAATAGGTTGGTTATGAAAATCTAAAAACACTTGTAATATAGCAAAAAGTTCATTTTGTTGTACAGAGTTAAAATTTGTCTGACGTACCCAGTAAGATTTTTGAGTCCAATATGCAGCTTTATTTTTAGATCCATCTGTAAATATAGTCAAAGCTTGTGGAATTGGCTGTACAGCTAATAAGGTATTAACCACAAATTGTTGACGTCTAAAAAAATCCCATAATTTACTTTTAGGAAAATGATATGAAAAAGTTCCCATGAAATCTGCTAAAGCAATTTGTAAGGTTTCAGTAATTGACAACAAATATTCCCATTGTTCCTTAGTTAAAGGGATAACTATATTGTTTATATCTTCTCCTATCAAAGTTATAGAACGAGCTCTACCATTCATAATTAAAGCTGCAACCATGTCAATATAAGGCATAACATTTTTAGATTGCTTAGTTTTAGTGAATACCCATTCTACTGGCATAGCATTTTGACCTAAAACTGCAGAGGGATATTGAAAAGTATTAATAATATATAAAGTTAGAGGCAATTTAGGATCAATCCTAATTAAAAATGCATCCTTAATTCGTTGTTCTACAAACTGTAATTCTTGCTCTGCTTTTGCTGTTAAAGAACGAGGGCTGGATGGATCTGAAGAGCCCTGTAGAGTAGCAAACAAATGCTGTAATGCATGGGTAGGAATACCTAGTGTGGGACGAAGCCAATTAATATCCCCTAATAATTTTTGAAAATCATTTAAAGTGGATAACTTATCTCTCCTAATAGACATTTTTTGTGGAATCACCTTTTGTCTAGTAAGAATATATCCCAAATAATGACTAACTTCTTCCTTTTGAATTTTATCCTGTGCTATTACAAGTCCAAACGGAGAAAAATATTGAGGTAAAGTTTTTAAAATATCTTCTAAAACATTTCTATCACTATATGAGAATAAAATATCATCCATGAAATGAGCCGTATAAACCTGAGGCCATCGTGCACGCACTGGTTTTAATGCTGCATCAACATAAATTTGACATATAGTTGGGGAATTTTTCATTCCTTGGGGTAAAGTCCTCCATTGATATCTTTGATAAGGTCTTTGATAATTTGTTTGAGGAATTGAAAAAGCAAACCGTTTTCTATCTTCTGGATGTAATGGGATGTTAAAAAAACAATCTTGTAAATCTATAACATATACAAACCAACCAGCAGGGAGCGCTGAGGGTAAAGGAATGCCGGGCTGAAGGGCTCCCATTTGAATTAAGGATGAATTTACAGCACGTAAGTCCGTTAAAAGTCTCCACTTGCCTGATTTCTTTTTTATCACAAATATTGGAGAATTCCAAGGAGATGTAGATGGTTCTATGTGATGTAGAAAAAGCTGTTGATCAATCAATTCCTGTGCTGCCAGTAACTTTTGAGTAGTCAAAGGCCACTGATCTATCCAAATTGGGTCATTATTTTTTTAATTAAGCTTTAAAGGATTCATTTCCCTAGGCTGTAGAAACATGCAAAATATTAAAAATGTATATAAGCTCCCCATTGTTCTAATACATCTCTTTCTAAAATAGAAACTGGTACCTCTAAGATATAAGGTTTAATAACAGCAACTTGACCCTCTTCATTTTTTATATGTATATGCATTGTGGCTTGTCCAATTGTATTTACTGGAGTTTTACTTACTCCTTTTATATTACATGGAATAATAGTATAAGTAATATGAGAAGGCCAATCAGTAGGTTTAACAATAGTAATATCCGAGCCTGTATCTATAAGAGCCTGAATTTTCTTATGCTCAATAAAAATATTAATAAGAGGTTGTTGTTGAGATAATTTAGCTGTCCACATTACATTAATAGGGTTAGTGCTGCCGAACCCTCTTGTTCGCTGAACAACAGAGGATCCTATTGGGATATAAGGCAGTAAAATGAGTTGAGCTATACGTTCTCCCTTTAATAATTTATAATCTGTAAGTGAGGACATCAGAATCTGAATTTCTCCAGTATAATCTGCATCTATAATTCCTAAGTGAACAGTAATGCCTTTTTGATTTAAACTAGATCTACCCGTGAGCAAGCCAAAAGTTCCCGCAGGCAGAGGACCAAAAATTCCTGTAGGAATTCTCACGGGAGATTGTCCTCCTCTTAATTCTACATCTTTTAAGGCTGGTATGTCCACTGCGGCACTGTGTTGGGTGGCTGGCTGTAGGGAGAATACGGTAGATTTACCCCATTGATTTGTCCGGGGCCCGGGGTAGGGCCCGTTCTCCCGTTTCCCTTTTGTTCAGCTGAATTAACTTGTTTACTCCTGCATTCACGAGCCCAATGATTTCCCTTCTTGCATTTTGGACATAAGCCAGGAGCTCTAGATCTCTTTTTTTGATCATTGCCTACAAGTTTTGGACAGGCCCTCTTTACATGTCCTATCTGACCACAATTAAAACATTTTAAAGACTGTTCCTTTTTAGATTGCCAATTAGTCCACGTGGTTGCCATGGTCTCAGCAAACAGTTGCATTTTCCTAGATTCTGAATTTAAATCTTTACATTGTTTTATAAAATTGTCAATCGTTCCAGTATCTTTTATTGGAATTAAAGCCCTTTTGCATTCATCATTAGCATTTTCAAAAGCTAACATTTTTAAGAGATGCTCTTGTAATTCTTGTCCAACTACTGTTTTTTCTATAACATTTTGAAGTCTTGCAACGAACTCAACATACGGTTCATTGGCTCCTTGCAGAACTTTAGCCCAAGATCCATATTCTGATCCTTTAGGCCGTATTTTATCCCAAGCTTTTAAAGCAATATCTTTTAATTGAGCATGAATCTCTCTTGGAGCTCCTGCCTGATGCTCAACAGTATCAAAGAGACCTGTACCAGAGAGCATGGGATAAGAAAGGAGTCTAATATTCGGATCTCGATCGTCAGCATTTTGTCTTGCCTTTTCCGCACAACCTTCCATAAACCACATGTGCCACTGTAAATATTCTGGCTCCTTTAAAAGAATTTTGGCCAAGGCTTTCCAATCATAAGGAGCAAGATTACCATAGTGATCTGCTACCGATGTTATTAATTCTCTAGTGTAATGAGCCTGAGGGCCATAAAGGGTTACAGCCTTTTTTAATTTTGCTAAATCATCCATATTAAATGCTTCCCATCTAGGGGGAACTGCCTCTCCATCTATTGGCTGTGGCCTGATTACAGGGAAAGCAAAGGCAGGCTTTTCCTCATCAGAATCCCCTAATTTTGGTAGATCAGCCAAAGCTAGCTTGGCTTTACTCCAATTAGGGTTAGATGGAGGAGGTGCAGAGGGAACTATAGGCGGGTTTTGCTTAATGGAGAGTTGTTTCACCTCTTGTGTTAAATGCTGTATAGCCTGTAAAATTGGGCGATTGTCATAATTTGATATTGCTGCGGCAGCTAAAGCTGAGTCGGCTGTAGTGGATTTTACTTTTAGTTTGGACGCCTTTTCACTACTTAAAGCGATAGCGTCATTTTGAACTACATTCTGCTCCTCCTCTGTGAGGGGCAATTCCTGAATAACTGGCTTAATTTCTAGTTGAAGATTTTCTACAATATGTTCATCTTCCATAGCTTTTAATAAAGAGTACACAACCGACCAAATAGCCCAAAAACGTAAAGGAATCTTTTCCTCCTGTTGCATAGCCCTTTCTATACTAACCCTTGCCTTCCTCCATACTTCTACATCCAAAGTTCCTTCATCTGGAAACCAAGGATTATATTCTTTAATTGTATCAATACACATATCCAAGTCAGCTGACCTGAGCGATATGCCATATATAGATAATAAATGTTTAAGAATTTTTAAGAAAGGAGAAGAAGCAGATTGTCCCATTTCCCCGTAATAAAATTATACTTACCTTCCTAAGCGACCTTCGGAGTCCCTGAATTCGGGCGCCACTTGTCGTGAGTGTCTAGGGCACTCTGAACTCCGGGCAAGGTAAACACACACGCACGCCTTGTCGGGACACGGGGGGTACAGCGCTTGGAAAAGAAAGACAGGAGAGACACCTTTGCTGTCTGCACCGCGTTACACTGCACTGCACTGTACGCACAATCTTTATTTTAGGATTCATATATAGTAAACCCGATCAATTCACAGAGCCCAGATAATTAAGTAGTGAAAAGGCATTCTTTGTGGCAAGCTACAACGTGACAGACTACAATGTTTATTCTAAAGCTATCTAAGTGAGGTAAATAATCACAACCAGTTCTCATAACCTCTCTAGCCCAGGAAGAAATTCATTAGCTCAAGAATGTTGTTAATTTGTCTGCTGTTAGTGTCACAAAGGGTGGCCAGCCACTTCCTCAAGACTTCTGCAAAACAAAGCCAGCTCACAGTATGGATTCCAGAGGGTGAGGGCTCACTAAGAACAGGCATTCCTATTCTACCTCCTTCTCGCATACCAGGGCGGCTATTGTAAATTGCAGGTTAGAGGGGGTTGGGCCTACAAAGTGACACCTCATCCCCCACAGTGAATGTAATGTTACACACCCATACAATGTGCACCACCCCGCGATGTTTTACAGAAACCTATCCTACATTGCCACTGCATGTGTCCTGACCTTCCCATGCTGACCACCCCGTGGTGCTTTTCTCCATCCTACATTGCCACTCACTGCCTATCTTTAATCAGACCCTATGATTGACATGACCCCGTGATGTATTTCTCACTCCTACTAGTGAATGTAATGTTACACACCCATACAATGTGCACCACCCCGCGATGTTTTACAGAAACTTATCCTACATTGCCACAGCATGTGTCCTGACCTTCCCATGCTGACCACCCCGTGGTGCTTTTCTCCATCCTACATTGCCACTCACTGCCTATCCTAATTCAGACCCCATGATTCACACCACCCCGTGATGTTTTTCAAACTTCTACCAGGGAATGTAATGTTACACACCCATACGATGCGCACCACCCCGCGATGTTTTTCAGAAACCTATCTACATTGCCACTGCAGGTGTCCTGAGCTCCCCATGCTGACCACCCCGCGGTGCTATTCTCCCTCCTACATTGCCACTCACTGCCTATCCTAATTCAGACCCTATGATTCACACCACCCCGTGATGTTTTTCTCACTCCTACTAGTGAATGTAATGTTGCACACCCATACGATGCGCACCACCCCGCGATGTTTTTCAGAAACCTATCCTACATTGCCACTGCATGTTTCCTGACCTCCCCATGCTGACCACCCCGTGGTGCTTTTCTACATCCTACATTGCCACTCACTGCCTATCCTAATTCAGACCCTATGATTCACTCCACCAAGTGATGTTTTTCTCACTCCAACTAGTGAATGTAATATTACACACCCATACAATGCGCACGACCCCACGATATTTTTCCTAAACCTATCCTACATTGCCACTGCATGTTTCCTGACCTCCCCATGCTGGCTACCACGTGGTGCTTTTTTCCATCCTACATTGCCACTCACTGCGTATCCTAATTCAGACCCTATGATTGACATGACCCTGTGATGAATTTCTCACTCCTACTAGTGAATGAAATGTTACACACCCATAAAATGTGTACCACCCCACGATGTTTTACAGAAACCTATCCTACATTGCCACTGCATGTGTCCTGACCTTCCCATGCTGACCACCCCGTGGTGCTTTTCTCCATCCTACATTGCCACTCACTGCCTATCCTAATTCACACGCTATGAATCACACCACCCCGTGATGTTTTTCAATCTCCTACTAGTGAATGTAGTGTTATACACCCATACAATGCGCACCACCTTGCGATGTTTTTCAGAATCCTATCCTCCATTGTCACTGCATGTTTCCTGAGCTCCCCATGCTGACCACCCCGTGGTGCTTTTCTACATCCTACATTGCCACTCACTGCCTATCCTAATTCAGACCCTATGATTCACTCCACCAAGTGATGTTTTTCTCACTGCAACTAGTGAATATAATATTACACACCCATACACTGCGGATCACCCCGCGATGTTTTTCAGAAACCTATCCTACATTGCCACTGCATGTGTCCTGACCTCCCCATGCTGACCACCCCGTGGTGCTTTTCTCCATGCTACATAGCCACTCACTGCCTATCCTAATTCAGACCCTATGATTCACACCACCCCGTGATGTTTTTCTCACTCCTACTAGTGAATGTATTGTTACACACCCATACAATGCGCACCACCCCGCGATGTTTTTCAGAAACCTATCCTACATTGCCACTGCATGTTTCCTGACCTCCCCATGCTGACCACCCCGTGGTGCTTTTCTCGATCCTACATTGCCACTCACTGCCTATCCTAATTCAGACCCTATGACTCACACCACCCCGTGATGTTTTTCTCACTCCTACTAGTGAATGTAGTGTTACACACCCATACAATGCGCACCACCCCGCGATGTTTTTCAGAAACCTATCCTACATTGCCACTGCATGTTTCCTGACCTCCCCATGCTGACCACCCCGTGGTGCTTTTCTCCATCCTACATTGCCACTCACTGCCTATCCTAATTCAGACCCTATGATTCACACCACCAAGTGATGTTTTTCTCACTCCTACTAGTGAATGTAATGTTACACACCCATACAATGCGCACCACCGCGCGATGTTTTTCAGAAATCTATCCTACATTGCCACTGCATGTGTCCTGACCTCCCCATGCTGACCATCCTGTGGTGCTTTTCTCCATGCTACATTGCCACTCACTGCCTATCCTAATTCACACCCTATGATTCACACCACCCCGTGATGTTTTTCAAACTCCTACGAGTGAATGCAATGTTACAAACCCATACAATGCGCACCACCCTGCGATGTTTTTCAGAATCCTATCCTCCATTGCCACTGCATGTTTCCTGAGCTCCCCATGCGGACCACCCCGTGGTGCTTTTCTCCATCCTACATTGCCACTCACTGCCTATCCTAATTCAGACCCTATGATTCACACCCACACGTAATGGTTTTCTCACTCCTACTAGTGAATGTAATATTACACACCCATACAATGCGCACCACCCCGCGATATTTTTGAGAAACCTATCCTACATTGCCACTGCATGTTTCCTGACCTCCCCATGCTGGCCACCACGTGGTGCTTTTTTCCATCCTACAGTGCCACCCACTGCGTATCCTAATTCAGACCCTATGATTCACACCACCCCGTGATGTTTTTCTCACTACTAGTAGTGAATGTAATGTTACACACTCATACAATGCGAACCACCCTGCGAGGTTTTTCAGAAACCTATCCTACATTGTCACTGCATGTGTCCTGACCTCCCCATGCTGACCAACCCGTGGTGCTTTTCTCCATCCTACATTGCCACTCACTGCCTATCCTAATTCAGACCATATGATTCACACAACCCCGTGATGTTTTTCTCACTCCTACTAGTGAATGTAGTGTTACACACCCATACAATGCGCACCACCCAAAGATATTTTTCAGAATCCTATCCTACATTGCCACTGCATGTGTCCTGAACTCCCCATGCTGACCACCCAGTGGTGCTTTTTTCCATCCTACATTGCCACTCACTGCGTATCCTAATTCAGACCCTATGATTGACATGACCCTGTGATGAATTTCTCACTCCTACTAGTGAATGAAATGTTACACACCCATACAATGTGCACCACCCCGCGATGTTTTACAGAAACCTATCCTACATTGCCACTGCATGTGTCCTGACCTTCCCATGCTGACCACCCCGTGGTGCTTTTCTCCATCCTACATTGCCACTCACTGCCTATCCTAATTCAGACCCCATGATTCACACCACCCCGTGATGTTTTTCAAACTCCTACCAGTGAATGAAATGTTACACACCCATACGATGCGCACCACCCCGCGATGTTTTTCAGAAACCTATCTACATTGCCACTGCAGGTGTCCTGAGCTCCCCATGCTGACCACCCCGCGGTGCTATTCTCCCTCCTACATTGCCACTCACTGCCTATCCTAATTCAGACCCTATGATTCACACCACCCCGTGATGTTTTTCTCACTCCTACTAGTGAATGTAATTTTGCACACCCATACGATGCGCACCACCCCGCGATGTTTTTCAGAAACCTATCCTACATTGCCACTGCATGTTTCCTGACCTCCCCCTGCTGGCCACACCGTGGTGCTTTTCTCCATCCTACATTGCCCCTCACTGCCTATCCTAATTCAGACCCTATGATTCACACCACCCCGTGATGTTTTTCTCACTCCTACTAGTGAATGTAATGTTACACACTCATACAATGAGCACCACCCTGCGAGGTTTTTCAGAAACCTATCCTACAATGCCACTACATGTGTCCTGACCTACCCATGCTGACCACCCCGTGGTGCTTTTCTCCATGCTACATTGCCACTCACTGCCTATCCTAATTCACACCCTATGAATCACACCACCCCGTGATGTTTTTCAAACTCCTACTAGTGAATGCAGTGTTACACACCCATACAATGCGCACCACCCTGCGATGTTTTTCAGAATCCTATCCTCCATTGCCACTGCATGTTTCCTGAGCTCCCCATGCTGACCACCCCGTGGTGCTTTTCTACATCCTACATTGCCACTCACTGCCTATCCTAATTCAGACCCTATGATTCACTCCACCAAGTGATGTTTTTCTCACTCCAACTAGTGAATGTAATATTACACACCCATACAATGCGCACGACCCCACGATATTTTTCCTAAACCTATCCTACATTGCCACTGCATGTTTCCTGACCTCCCCATGCTGGCTACCACGTGGTGCTTTTTTCCATCCTACATTGCCACTCACTGCGTATCCTAATTCAGACCCTATGATTGACATGACCCCGTGATGTATTTCTCACTCCTACTAGTGAATGTAATGTTACACACCCATACAATGTGCACCACCCCGCGATGTTTTACAGAAACCTATCCTACATTGCAACTGCATGTGTCCTGACCTTCCCATGCTGACCACCCCGTGGTGCTTTTCTCCATCCTACATTGCCACTCACTGCCTATCCTAATTCACACGCTATGATTCACACCACCCCGTGATGTTTTTCAATCTCCTACTAGTGAATGTAGTGTTATACACCCATACAATGCGCACCACCTTGCGATGTTTTTCAGAATCCTATCCTCCATTGCCACTGCATGTTTCTTGAGCTCCCCATGCTGACCACCCCGTGGTGCTTTTCTACATCCTACATTGCCACTCACTGCCTATCCTAATTCAGACCCTATGATTCACTCCACCAAGTGATGTTTTTCTCACTGCAACTAGTGAATATAATATTACACACCCATACAATGCGGATCACCCAGCGATGTTTTTCAGAAACCTATCCTACATTGCCACTGCATGTGTCCTGACCTCCCCATGCTGACCACCCCGTGGTGCTTTTCTCCATCCTACATTGCCACTCACTGCCTATCCTAATTCAGACCCCATGATTCACACCACCCCGTGATGTTTTTCAAACTTCTACCAGTGAAT